ATGTCAAGGTCCTCTCGCAGAAAAAAAAGAGTCATCACCATATTTAACCAGGGCATGAGGTTATTTTCCATACTGCTACCTCTCTATGTGTGCCAAACCACCCCTGGTGTTTATTGCCAAAAAGCACTATTTTGGTTTCAGCTGACCATAGAACCTGATCCAATTTTCCAGTTGTGTCCAGCAAACTGAGGATGCTTGAGTTTGTTTCTGGATGAGAGTAGAGGTTTTTTTCTTATAGCCCATCCAAACAACTTGTGATGATCAAGGCGACATCGGAATGTAGTTTTGAAAACACAACTGACTTCTGAAAACCTCCAGCTGTGATCTTTGAAGATTTTTTGGCCACTTCAACTATCCTCTTCACAGTGCATTGAGACAATATAGACACTCGTCCTTTTCCAGGATGATTCACAACTTTTCCAGTTGACTACTTCAGCTCATCAAAGTAGTAGTAGCACTGTTCCGGTCACATTTAGTTCTGCAAGTAAAACATTGCAGTTTAGGAGAAACTACAATGTTTACATTGCTGTACTAAGACAGCCTCTAGTCATTGTAGACTAAACAGCCACTAGAGGCGTTTTCAGAATTATACCGGAATTGAGGACATCCAGCATCAGTTATAACCACATAGGAAAGCTTTGAAGCCATGCTTTCCTGTTGGAAGGCCTAATGCGCTTGCTGTGCATGCTCATTAACCCCCTTCATTCCCATTGGATGACGTTGGAGGAGACAGAGCACCAGCTATACTATAGTATCCCTTTAATTATTGCCCTGATGTTGGAAATGAGTATTTTCAATGCTTTTGATATTTCCTTACAGCCACTTCCCATTTAATGAAGCTCAACGAGTTTTTGCCACACTTCACAACTATATTCCCTGGTCTACCCATTGTAATGAATAACTAAGTGAATTTGGCCTATATATCATCTCATATTTATATCCCTGTGAAACAGGAAGACATGATTGAAAACATGTCCTGTTCCAAGTCACCCAGGTGTACTAGAAAAATGTGACATATCAATAGGATTATACTTCAAATATATTTTTCTCATATGAATCCATAGTGGTGCTAATAATTACGCAACACACAATTTACAAAGATTATTTTTTTTTTGGATAAACCTGTGTTGTGTTTGTAATTGTTTGATATCCATTAGCAGAGTATTTGTTATGTACTTTTTAAACAAAAGATCAAATGATTAAACAAAAAAGATAGTTTTCCACTGCCTTTTGGCTCATATTTACCAAGGGTTCCAATACTAGTGGAGGGCACTGTATTAACCTAATATGCATTCACCTCCAGTATTTTATGACTGTCTGCCAGAGGTGCTCTCATAAATCCCAGCCAACAATAACAGACCATTCTGTCTGCAACCCAGTATAGGTGTTAGTGGAAAGACCAATTATACCATAATTTTAATCTCTTTGCAGTATAGTTATTCATCTCCCAGAATGACACAACTAATTTCTTTTCTTTTTTAAAAAAAACAATATTTATGTAAACACGTTGCACTGTGGTTTAGAATCTCTCTTTTGTCTTTAAGTGTTTATTGAATTGCACACTCCATGGAGCCATCTCATCTGGATAAACAGTGATAATATTTATTCTTTCATTCCCCATTTTCCTCTTTAAAAGTATGGATTTAGAATAAATAGACAATACTGTCATGTATTATTTATATACATATTTTCTAATTTCATTATAGCATGCTTAAAGGACCACTATAGTGCCAGGAAAACATACTCGTTTTCCTGGCACTATAGTGCCCTGAGGGTGCCCCCACCCTCAGGGACCCCCTCCCGCCCGGCTCTGGAAAGGGGTAAAACTTACCTTTTTCCAGCGCTGGGCGGAGAGCTCTCCTCCTCCGTTCCCCGCTGAATGCGCACGTGGCAAGAGCTGCGCGCGCATTCAGCCGGTCACATAGGAAAGCATTTACAATGCTTTCCTATGGACGCTGGCGTACTCTCACTGTGAAAATCACAGTGAGAAGCACGCAAGCGCCTCTAGTGGCTGTCAATGAGACAGCCACTAGAGGATTAGGGGGAAGGCTTAACCCATTGATAAACATAGCAGTTTCTCTGAAACTGCTATGTTTATTAAAAAATGGGTTAACCCTAGCTGGACCAGGCACCCAGACCACTTCGTTAAGCTGAAGTGGTCTGGGTGCCTAGAGTGGTCCTTTAAGGTATATGTTTTATTTGTGTTGTTTTGTTTGCTAAGTTCTATACAGCAAACTAAATATTTTCTAATATATATATTAGGTATATATTATACACACAGTGGCATGGACGAAATCAAGGAAATTGTCATTCTGCAGCTGGAGTTCTGCTTGTTGCTATCCTTGTGCAAGAATGTTCCATTGATGTTGTTTTATGCAGAAAAACACCTTTACGTGCCAGTAAATGATTTAGGACATAGAAAGAAGGTAAACAGGCCACGTTTTAAAGGTGCCATTTATTAAACCTTGCATTATTTTATTTTTAAATTAGCTAAAGATAATCAATTTCACAAATTAAAGGCAAATTAAAAAATCACTAAAATAAACATTTAAATTTTTGGCCAATGGTAATATTTTATCTTGACAAAAATGATCTTAATGGTAAGTAGAGCTTTTTTCAGCTTGCTAATTTGCTAGAGGGACCAAGTATGAAGCTAGACATTTCATTTGTTAGTTCATGTTGAAGCAAGCACGTTTTTGGCAGGGGTCTGCTATTACACACGTCATCTAATGCATAGGATTTTGGGACAAAATGGGATTTTGGGTGCTGTGTGTGTAAGGGTGCTGTTAGTGTGTGTGTGTGTGTGCGCTGTATGTATGTAGATGCTGTGTGTGTGTGGGGGGGTGCTGTTGGTGTGCTGTATGTGGGTGCTGTGGGTGTGCTGTATGTTTGGGTGATTGTGTGTATTGTGTGGTGGCCATTTAGTAAATATCCCCCCTCTCTTCCTACCTTATGTAGGGATGGGGGATACTGCTGCTGCTACCTTCCCTGGTGGTCCAATGGAGAGTGAACTCTAGCCTGCGGGGCTAGAGTTCACTCTCGTGAGATCTGAGCGTTGCTGCGGCAATGCTCAGAATCCCGCGAAAGGAACCCGGCGGAGCTACTGGCAAGAGCTCCCAGGGTCCTCTCCTGCCTCCCTAACTGCCCGTGGGCCGGTGAAGGGAGGCTTAGAGCAGAGCCGGCACTCAGATAGCGCTGGCTCTGCATGAGCCGACAGGGAAGATCCTGAGATCTCCCCTGCTGGTCTCAATCCATAGGCGTGCCGCGGGGATTAGGGTGTGCCCAGACACACCCGGCACACCTATGCTCCTGCCTAGTATACAGTTTTGAATATGGCAGATATTTCACCCATTAAATAAGATGAAGGGGGCTGGCGCCTAAGCTGATAGCAGCAGCTCTTGGTACAGTCCAGGATCCAAGTAAGATCCAAGAAGAGGATGCATAGCTGCCTCCACTGACATCTATCACCGAGTTCAAGGATGTACAGCAAGGTGCTTTGGTTATAAGAAATTATATGCAGGGACACAGGCATCATTGCAAAAGATATAGGTTGTTATGGTGCTTGGATTGTTACCTAAAAAGAACACTCTCAGGTTATAAATGCTTATTTATCAAATTTGCATGTTCACTGTGCCTTTGCAATGTAAAAAAAAAACTATAATGTCTAACTTACCACTCAAAAACTGACATCCCAATCTCATTATGAGCACAAGGCCACCTTTTTCTGATACCTTTACTAGGATTATCATGGGCCAATCCAATTATGCTCCATAGAGAAGCACTGAGGACCCAGCTCGCATTCACTATGCACCACTATGCACCAAAACGATTCTTCTTATCATAATGAGTAGATGTCTGATTGACAGCCTATACAGGCATACTGACAAATGTAAACATTGTGGTTTCTCACAAACAGTAATGCTTACATATGTCAGTCTCTGGGATTGCAAATAGACACCAATAACACTAAATTAACCTTTAGTGGTTTTGGAGCTTAGAGTTTCTGTTTAAGGTTCATGCTTCGACACCTTGCTTAGCTTGACATGGTGTCACTTTTAAAAAAAATTACATTTTAGCCATAAGTTTTGCTAGCCTTATTGCTAGCAAATATAAAGATAAAATGTTATTTACAATTTCAAATATTTAATCTGCCTGAGCTTTATGGTTATGCCTTTGGTATTTCTTTGGCATATAAGTAAATCAGAGTATATCACAAGTAGTAGACTCCCCAACCCAATGATGTAGTCACAATCCACAATTCTTAGTGTGAATCTTAGCATCTGAAAGAACATGGAATGCAGAACAATGGTAGTCTGCACACTTTACATTTACACTTTACCTCTACACTTTTCAAGCGGTCAAAGATGAATACGTCTTTATGGTGCTGTGGTTACAGGGGTTTATAGGTCTGTAGTTCTTAGTTTTATTTATTTTTGTCAGGGGCCCACATAATATAAAAGGAACACTGCAAGCACCATAACCACTGCAGTAGTGTTTATGGCCCCTGGTGTGCCCTGGTGCCGCCCAACAAAAACTGTTTGACTTATAGCCTAGGGTCTGCTCCATGACGCCACTGCCTACAGAGAGTGAAAGCACTCTGGCTGAGCTATGCCTGGCTGAGCATGGTCACCTGACATTCCCAGGCAATGAGCAAGCACTCAAGCTCAGAAGAGTTTATGGAAGCTCCTACATAGAAGCTTCTGGTAGTGGTTGCTCGAAGTTGTGGAGGCGGTGAGCAGTACCCGGTGGACCTCAGGTAAAAAGTCAAACCAGGGGGCGTGGCCTGAAGTCCGACTACCATGGACGCGTGAATCCCGAGCTCCTTGCCACCAAGCTACAATAAGCCGTTTCCAGCCCGTTAGCTCACCCAAATGGGACGCACCAGGAGACCGGAGAACCAGCAGACCCCCAGGGCAGCACCGCCAGCACTGTCATCGGGACCTATGGACGGATTTCTACAAACCCCGCTGGGTCCGAGCCGCAAGGCGCATGGATCCAAGATGGCGCCCGTCTCCCCGGCTTCCTCCTGCTCGGAGCAGGAACAGCCCACACTGGTGGATATCGGGGCAGAGATCAGGAGACTAGCAGCCAACATGGTCACAAAATCTGACCTGCAGTCCCTGACCGCCACCCTTACGGCATCCCTCAAATCCACAGTCACCGCACTAAGCACGGACATAGAGGCACAGTACGGACGCATCCAGGCCTTAGAAACCCAGGCCCAAGCCACACAGCACCAGGCCTCAGCCGCAGATACAGCCCTAACAAGGCAGGGCAACATGCTACTGTCCCTGCGCAGACAGGTCGAGGACCTGGATAACCGAAGTCGCCGCTCTAACATCTGGGTAAGGGGGGTGCCGGAGCGGGAGGGGACGGAGAATGTTGAGGAGATGCTGACTGAGCTCTTCCACCAGATTCTGGGAGCGACGCGCCACCAGACATCCACTTTGAGCGGGCACACAGGGCCTTGCAACCCAGGATTAGGGATCGGGACCCCCATGACATTATTTGCTGCTTACATTCATTTCCCCTTACAGAATGCATAATGCAGCAGGCCAGGACCCGACCCACGTCGCGGTACCAAGAGGCAGAGGTCTCCCTGTTTAATGACCTCTCACCTACAACATTGGAGGCTAGGAGTGCCCTCAGACCCATCACTACAGCACTAAGGGAACGCAATATTCCCTACAAGTGGGGTTTCCCATCCAGCATCCAAGTACGACACCGCAACGAATGGGTCGCGGCACGCTGGCCAGAAGAAATACCACGTTTTCTCCAAAGGCTGGACCTGCCGCCCATAGCAGTCCCGGACTGGATACTGGAACCACTAGACCGGGAACCCAGACACCAGAGACAACCACAGAACCCACGGAAGGGTCTTAGAGAGAACCGGGCATATGCTGCACCCCCACACCCATCCAACCCAGAAGAATAAATATACCCCGCAGGGAACCGCCTCAGCTCAACCACATAGCCTGAGAACCGGATGCACGAGACGGTATAGACACAAACTATGACCCACGTACACTGCATAAACCCCCCTGATCCCGGGTGACCACTTTGTCGGCTGTTTGGGGTAATCACACCCGCCGTACCTTCTGCATTTTGGGTGGGGAACGGGAGGGACGAGATATATCATTAACCACAGGGGAAGGGACTGATGGACGACAATTTGAAGGACCTGACCGGCCATGCCCATTGCCAGACTCTCCCACCCTACGCCACCTTTCCACAGCATAGGGGAAGCACCAAAACTGGACTAAATTGGGAGGGGGGTAGGCATGCAAAAGCCTTATGGGGGGGTTCTGTATGACTGAAGGGACAGGTACTGGCTCACCTAGCGGGGCCAGAAGCCACACCTCTATCATGCCAACATAGGAGACCGACCCACTACAGCAAACACCCATGCCAGCAGCAACTTCACTTGATGGAGGACCCATGCCTACAGGTTCGGAGGGGATGGTAAATGGAAGGGGGACAAAGCATTAAGGGTCTGTCGGGGGAGGCGGGAGGGGGGAAACGAAACACACAAAAATATATGTATATGCATAGGGGGTAATATGAATCCTACGGGGGCCAAGAAGCCGGGACTCTGGACCAAAGAACCTGAAGTTAGAGGAGGGGTGGGGAGAGGGAAGGTGGGGAAGGAGTGGGAAAGATGAGGGGAGATCGGGACCCCCAGACTAGATTCCTAGTACTACTAGAGTATAGCTGCAGGGGGAGCTAAATGACATTAGTGGTAGCAACACCACCCACTTGTAGAAGAAAAGGAAAAAGAGATAGGGAAAGAGTGTCAGGTTGCTAATGGAGATTGGGGGGTAACTCCTAGTTCATAACGATTACAAAAAGAAGAGGATACAAAGAAACCCAGAGGATACAGTCTAACAGTCCTGCGGGTTTCAAAAGTATGATAAGCAACCCTTAACGTAATAAAACCTAGCTTTTAATAAATCTTTTTAAAAATTGCACACAAATTATATATATAAAAATCAAGAAAATACAACAGTCAAAAGGCTGTGCATGTAAATGAAGGTACTGGACTAATAGGGAGAGGGGAACTCAAACTCTAAATACAGGTTCTAGGAATACTCCTATGTAGATAGGAAAGTAGTGCAAGGATCAAGTAAACTAGATATAAATGGCCTAAGTAGGTCCAATAGGATCTCCCTGCTACTACCCTCCAGTAATCAATATATAGTAGAGTCGCCTAAATCCTCCATAGTCCACACATACCAAAAAATAAATAAAGAAAAAATTAATAAAAAATATTATAGTATAAATAATCAATGAAAAAGTATCTAAAGTGTGAGAATAAAGGGTGGCTAATAGGGAACTGAACCATCAATACGGCTGCAGCATCGTCCCTGTCTTTCCCCACCACCCTAAATAAACAATCGTCCCGACGCGCGTTTCGCCTAAACTGGCTCTTCCAGGGTTTATCTACATAGGAGTATTTGTAGAACCTGTATTTAGAGTTTGAGTTCCCCTCTCCCTATTAGTCCAGTACCTTCATTTACATACACAACCTTTTAACTGTTGTATTTTCTTGATTTTTATATATATAATTTGTGTGCAATTTTTAAAAACATTTATTAAAAGCTAGGTTTTATTACATTAAGGGTTGCTTATCATACTTTTGAAACCCGCAGGACTGTGATACTGTATCCTCTGGGTTTCTTTGTGTCCTCTTCTTTTTGTAATCAACACCACCCTCTGCCCCATACATCTTGGTGAGACCAATAGGAGGTAAACAAGGGAGGGAAGAGGGACAGGCACGCAGGTTGGACGGGTGGAAAAAAAGGAGGGCGGGGGACTCAATACTGTATTCAACTGTATATATGTTATATGCTCCAAGTGGGGGAGACGTATAATACAATATATGACATTCTTTTCTTATAGTTAACCTATACGCTATCCACAAAGACGCTGCCACTGAGATAAACGGAGGGGAACCCGCCACTACCCCCGCCCAAACCTGCATCCCATGAGCCACACGATAAGTAACACGCTCTGAGGCAACACCCTGCCTATGCCCCCCCCCGGACCTACATTTGACACGACAGGGACACTGGTCCTGGCTACCGCTACCCGACCAAGAATGACTGCAATACCCCTGACCAATACTCTACTCAGACACACTAGACTAGCCAACCCCCCGACCAACAACACACAGCTCCATAACCACATATTGACACACGTCACCCTGTGGAAACCCGCGCCCCTTCACCCCCCGCTACCCCCACATCCCGGGGGGGTAACAAACATGGGACGTGAAGGGAAGAGACACCTGCCTCCGCTTCCACACGATATCCCCTTGATAGACAGCAAATGGCGACAACATTGACGGTCACTGGGGGTCCATGATAGGGCCCACTACTTACACTAGCCCAGGCAAACGACATTCAAACACTCTCAAGGTGGTGGCACACCCGTTGGGTAATCTCAGGCACACGTACCTAAAACAACCTCTAGAAAACACATCTTAATTTGGAGAAAGCTCAAGGACTCAACCACTAACCCCCCAACACGTTCGCGTGAACAACCCCAATCCACGGGGAGTAGATAGTTGGAAGCTGTAGGACACTGTCAGACAGGCCCGACTGCCGACTGCTACCGTGGTCACGTGAATGACCTATCTCTAGGTGCCACTACTGTCTCCCTCTGGAGACAAAGAATCTATCTTTTCTTCCACACCCCCGCCCGCCCTGACGTGCGGACTGGGGTCTCCCCATACTTCACTTCTACCCCCCTTTCTATTCCTCTGCTTCACACTCTCCACTCCTCTGTTCCTCCCCCCACCCGCCCTCCACCCTTAATACCCCTTCCCATTGCCACAGTAACTGCAGAGCCTCCAAGGGGACGGTGTGCAACTCGGCAACAGACTTCCCCTGGAAGGACGAACAAACCGCTGAAGGCCACTGCGAACCACTTACGCCAACCACAAATGTCCTACGAACCGGACCCCTTACGCATTACGACCATGAACTGCAGGGGCCTAAATTTATAATATACAGCTAATGACCTCCAACCTAGGTCCGATAGCCTTCACCATCACATAAGGGATGAGGCCCACTGGTGAAAAAGGGATACTAAACGTAACTACACAGCCGGCACAGCCAAGGCATCTAATTACTTGGGGAGCGATACGGGGACATTCACCCCAGAGACATAAAACGATACTCCCATGACAAACAGACCTTAACGGTGGACCGTCCCAAAGGGATCAGATAAACACACATCACCCAATATGCTAGGGCGGAGACACCCCCTGACAACTCCACCGGACACAATAGGCGCATTTGGCCAACAAGACCGCACACCTAAGCACACTTGAAAGCACGAGTACCCACGACCTCAAATAATCTGCACATCCCCCATGAGGCAAAGTCTGATGCCCAAAAAGTCATGATGAACACCTCAAATATGTTGAACGCAGCATACCGCTTATAGTTTGACAATCTATGAGTCACAACCTTATCGTCCACCTGACTAATTTAGCTTATTTTCCACATTTATGCTACATACTTGTATAATAGCCTACTACTGTTCTAAGTGTTGATTATTCCAATGTCGCTGGGACCTGCGAGTCTGTTCTACTGTATTTGACTATTGCACCCAATAAACAACTTTGAGAAACAAAAAAGTCAAACCATTTGAATACCAGTGAAGGACACCAGAGCACTATTGGCATCAAAACAACTACTGGAATGGTCATAGTACTTGAAGGGTTCCTTTAATGGCATTAGCTTGGCAGTAAAAATTAGCTCAATCCATTTTTCAAGTATAATATTATTTTAAAATAAAGTCTCCAAAACACAGTTAAGTAATACAACAGTTACCAACATAGATCAGGTACATTTGATAGATTTGGCCTCATACCCATGCTGTGTTTTTCTCTCGATCTAAGTCTCTTTAATGTTGCTAAAAAAAAAAAAAAGGGAAAAAATGCTTTCTGCAGCATAACCGTGCCCCATCTCAGGCATGCCTCCTCTCTTCACAAACATCTTCCTGAATAGATGATACCCAGTATAGCTCAGTCAATCAGAGATTAGCATGACCTGAGATGCTGACTTGACTTTGTCCCACAGCCAGTCACTGCCATCTTCTTATCTATATAGTATTTGAGCTGGGTTAAGGGGAAATCTGATATATGGAGGTATTGGACCAGATGAGTATTCTTCAAATCAGGAAGAAAATTTGTGAAAATAGAAGGCTTGGTAAAGACGGCGGAATTATGCTGCAGAAAGCTGAATGATAACTTTTTTATAAAAGACATTTTAATTTTGAGAAAAACATTATAAATATTGAATTCAAAAACTGTGAAATGTGCTTAAAGGAACAGCATAGCATTAGGAAAACAAACCTGTATTCCTAACGTTATAGTGTCGTAGTACATGATAAAAAGGTTTTACTTACCTTTTCTCCAGCACTAAAACTCACTCTGTGCTGCTGTCCACTCCTCGTCCCTAGATGCCAATCTAATACTCCTCTTAGTGGAACCACACGAGAAGAGCATCCTTACTAATACAGGCTTTTTGAATATAAT